TTTTATTAATATTTTGTTTGTTTGTCTTTTAAATTTAGAGCGATCAGATTACCAAATGGTTTAGAAGCTTTGCTAATTTCCGAGGAATATTTACCAACATCCTTTTCTCAAGAAAAGAAGGTATAAACAAGATAATTTTATTTGCATTTTAGGACTTACTAATTTTTTACTTATTATTCAAAATTTATATTTAAAATTAATATTATTATAACAATAAACTTTAAAAGCGTAAGAGATGTTTATTTTTGTAAGATTTAAACAGTATATTATCCGAAGTTTTGATTTGAAAAATTTAATATTCTGCATTGCAAAAACGTTTCCATAAATTGATTTCGAATTGTGTGATACTATTTCGAACTGTTTAATCATTCTGTTGATTATATTTGATTCTCTATTTAACAATGCGTGTAATGCGCGTGTATACTCTTACATTTTTTTAAACAGGCATCATGTAGCTTATTCATAGACACAGGAAATTTCAGCGATACGGCAGAATTTCCGGGCGTATCATATTCCTTAGCATATATGTTTTCTCAAGAATCCGAGAAATATTTAGAGGTGCTAAAACATGATACATAAATTTACCATAAAATTTATTTATTCGTATATTTAAATATTTAAGTTTTATTTCTAGCAATCAGATACTACTATGGAAGATTTTTTTGAAGACCATAATGGTACTCTTTATATCAATGTGAGCAATGAATATACAATATTTTACTTTGATATCGAACAAGAGAACTTTTGTGTAGCTCTCCATAATTTTGGCACCTTTTTTGAAAATCCTATAATATCGGAACATGTATTTATAGAGAAACAAGATGTTATAAAAAACGGTATAAAAATGTAATAATAATCTTAAAATTGTTGTCGCAACTTGCAGTCTTAACATGTCATTCTTATGTAGAGTTTCAGAGATTATTTGGCAAATCGAGATACGAACAACTATTTTCCTCCTTCGCACAAACTGGTCATCCAGCCAACAAGTTTTCTGTAGACCATTTAATAAAATTACGCAATAATATAGATTACAACAAATTGTACAATGTGCTGGACAAGTTTAAAAGTCGTCACTATAGCGCTCACAGAATGAAGCTAGCAATACGGGTAACTTCGTTAAGATTGCGAGAATTATTTATGATTTATATATTCATAGTTGTTTTGTTTATAAAATAAAGTTAAATTATAACATAATACATATTTTTATAGTCGAGATTTCAATTGAATATAATGGAACAATTTGTCAAAGCATGCTTTGCTGATGTACCAAACAACAGAATGCCTCCAGATAATTTTTCCAAATTTAAAAAGAATCTTCCTTTTGATATTTCCGCTTTCCGAAAAATGTATAAAGTTAATGATAATACGGAACATTTGACACGAGTAAGTGACTAAAATTTGAGCAGATATAAAAGAATTTAGGATTATACAACATAAAAATGAAAATAAATCTACAAATTAAACTTCCTCTCTTGCAGCTAACGTGGGCCTTGCCTTCGTTCTCTGATTTTTCTAAGTGTAATTCATATCAATATATCTCGAAAATTATTCGATATGAAGGAGAAGGTTCCTTAATTAGTTATCTACGACAAAAAATGTGGAGCCCATTAGACAATATATTTGATTGTAAGAGTCAACAAAACACTTTGTATGGCTTAATGCAGCTCACCATAGCACTCACTTCTGAAGGACTAAAACATCTAGAAGATGTCCTAGATGCGATATTTTCTTTTATCAATTTATTAAAGAAAGCGGGTCTGCAGAAAAAAATTTACAATGACATTTATGAGTGTGAACAAAATAATTTTAGGTAATTTAAAAAATAAATATATGTATTTAAGATCATTGAAAAGAATAACCAACAACATATTTGTGGAACGCCATTTACTTGAAGTTCTTTTTAGGTTTACTAATTACGATAACGAATCAATATGTTTTACAAAACAATTATGTGAGAATATGCATTTTTATCCGCCGAATGCTTATATAACTGGAAAGCTTGATTTTAATTATAATGCAAAAGTTATTAAAAAATATTTGAATTACTTGACGCCTGAGATGGCGAATATTATGATTTTCTCCAAGGATTTTAATGATTTCGAATTAAAGAAAATTGAACCATGGTGGCAAACGGCATATACGGATATTGAGATACCGAAAGTGTGGATCAAACGTTGGAAAGTCATCGAGCCATTACCAGAATTTTTTTTACCATCACCGAATATATTCCTTACCAAGAACCTTTGTCTAATGCAGATACCAAATGAACAAATTGAGAAATATCCTATAAAATTATACTGTAATTCTGTGTCGGAGATTTGGTATCACCGGGTTCCTAAGATTCGTTTGCCGAAATGTTGTATGCATTTCAATTTTATTTCCCCTCTAAATTATCAGTCGTTGAAGAAGTAAGCACAGAAAATGTAACAATATTATTGTACTTTACATTATATGTAAATAATTTTTAACTTTTAGTTATTAATATTATTTTTATATAATTATTTACATCTTATTAAAAAAGACTTGAACATTAATGACATTTCAGTGATGTTCTCATACGCATGTACTGCGAACTATTGAAACAGCTATTAACCGAAAAATTATATCCAGCTGAACTAATTGGATTTAAATATGAAATCAAATTCCTTCAGAATGAATTTACATTAAAAATAAGCGGTCTTACTGAAACACTGCCAGTAAGTATAATACGTTCAAAGTGTGCTTTGAAGATATAAATACAATTTTCAAGAGATATCATTATCATTATTTATTATTTGTAGGTTGTTGCGGATACTTTTGCACAAGGCATGGTGAATTGCACAAGCTTTATTACGAAGGACATATTTGAAAATATCAAAATTCAACAAATTCAGAGATTTTACCAGGACGTTAGTGAACCTAAGATTTTGATCAAGTACTGATTGTTTATTATATCAAGCATTATTACAATTACAAAATTCTTATATGACCAAAATAAATGATTAACATATTAATTGTAACAAATGATATTATAAAATAAATTATATCACGTTACATTTCTGCTAATCAGTAATATTTTCCTCTTGCTTGCAGCGACATGGCATTATCGATACTAAAACTCAACCATCATTCACAAATTGATATGTACAATACTGTACAGAATATCACTTTGAAAGACTTTCAAGACTTCGTGAAATCCTTTACCGAACATCTATACATTCAATGCCTCGTGCAAGGAAACATGACGCCGTCTGCTGCAATCAACACAGTACAGCAATTTATTAAAACAATTAATTGTAGCCCTTTACACCCAAATTCGATACAACAGTTTAGAAGCATTCAGATACCATTGGGCATAAGCTATTACAAGATTAAAAATATCGACAAATTAGATGAAACTTCCGTGATAAAAAATTATTATCAAGCCGGTGTCAACACGATTGAATTATCGACATTAATCCATCTGATAAGCGTAAGTATTAAAGGGATCCTAAATTGAAGCGCTAACTCCGAGGAGATCGCTATTTACCGAAAAATGCGACACATTGGCACATCTTTATATACTCTTGCAAAGCTTCCAATATTTCACTCATATACATAAATTTTCGTTGAATAATAACGTTTTAATTAGACTTCTAAATCAAATTCTAAGAATTCCGCGTCATTTGTTTACGTAAACTATCAATTTGTAGACCACGATTTCGTAAATACTGATTGCAAAGCTTTTATATCAAAATATATAATTATAACATATCAAACAAATGTTTCGATATTGATAATGTCATATTGTGGTAAGAAATAATAGAGAAAATTTGAGTCATTCTTTTCGTTCTCGACATAAACTCTATCTCACAGATGCGTACGTATTAATGCGTATACTTTAATCCTGGAAAGGGATTTTGAATTTGTAAAAGAGAAAAAAGTAGTTATTATACAAAAATTATTGCGTTTAATCAATATAGACAACTTATAAGAAGAAATCCCTTTAAATAACATATATTACATTATTTTGTATATTTTGAATGCATGGAATCTTTGATGCATATTCATTTATTTTTAAGATAATGAAATATGAATAAGCTCTTTGATTATCACGATTAATTTTATCTACATATCACATTCACTTGCACGTGTTTTCAGTACATAATGAACGATAAATTGAACGAAGCATTGGTCCTCGCAGATAAATTTGAACATGCCACAGTCAACGTTGTAAACTATTACGGAATTTTAGGATATTCCATTACTGTTTGCACTCAAGCACATAAATATAGAACCGTGTACGTTGATAAAATAATCGATGAATTTTTGAGATTGTTTAAAAACAATTTTGAAAAGTTCACAGAAGAGGAATTGGATGCTTACAAAGAAATGTTCCTAAAATCTAGATCACATGACGATGTCAATATTGAAGAGGAAGAAAATTGGTATCAGATCCTACATCATACTTACATATTTGACTTTCATGAACAGCAAATACTTGCTCTAAAGGATATAAATGTTAAAAAGCTGAACGAATGGCTTGCAGACCACACATCGAACGGAAGTAATTTCAGAAAATTGAGTTTGCATATTGTGGGAACTATTCCCAAAAAAGCGAAATACGTTAATTTAGAATATATAAACGACGATCATCAGCAGTACAAGCTAAATGAATATCATTATATTACTAATGTAGAAGATTATAAGAAAAAACTTTTCATATTTCCAACTGAGCGTTCCAACAAATCCCTTCAGAGCACAGAATAAATGACACATTAATAATTTAATAATATAAGGAAAATGATATTATAACTTTTATTGTATTATGATATGAGGTTTTTTTTAATGGTTAAATGATTAAATTTAAACTTTTTATCTTCTCATAGCCATTACGCAATAAACCAATGAAAACATCTTTTGCATTTCTATATTTTTTGCTATAAGCCTTTATGAATAATAGCCGTTATTATAATCGCTATTATTGTACAGTTATAGAATTTTTACATTTTGCTATAGAACTAGAATATTCGAAGTTAAAAGAACGAAATTTTCTCACATTAAAATCAAAATTGTTAGTTTTATATATTAACGAAACTTTTCTTTAATAAGAAAATATATGTTTATATAAACAAATACATAATATATATATTACAAGTAACTGTATAACTGTATTTTTAATAATATTTTAAGTAACTGTAATAACTAAACAAAAACATGTACTGTGATAATTAAGGATGTTCTGGGTCACTAATTATCAGATTAATGTGAGCATTTTTTGCAATTACATTTATTATATTTCAATATTCTTTACGATGAACTGTTATGAATAATGACTGTTATTATAACAGCTATAAAATTTTACATTTTGCTACGGAACTAGAATTTTGAAGTAATAGAACAAAATTTTTTCACATTAAAATTCAAATTGTTAGTTTTATATAATGACGATATTTTTCTTTAATAAGAAAATATAAACAGATATATAATGAAAACATTATAAGTAACTATAATAACTAGAAATATAATAACTAGAAAAAAACATATATTATTATAATAAAAGGCGATGCTCGTAGAGTGTAAAGTACTTGCTCAAGATGTAATTTTTCATATTTTCTATTTATATTCTAAACACGACAAAATATTTTCAATAAAATATATTTCTCACTCTCTTTTTTTCTTTCTGTTTCTCTTTTCCTCTGCTCACTCGTAACAAAATATCCATACTTAACTTAATTTTTTTTTAATTTGTATTTTTTTACAAAGGCCGCACACCAATTGAGGCTAAACTGTATGGCTGATTCTACAAATATTTTATTTTTGTGTAGGCATACATATTGTAGGAATTGCATTTTAAATAAATTGATGAAGTATTAAATATTAAATATTAAATATATACTTTCTAGAAAAAGAGGAAATTTTTTAATTGAACTGCTCTTTAAGTCAACTGTTTAGCTTTCTATTCATTCGGAAAAGAAAATTTTACGACTTTTTAAGATTGTATTTAAACGATATTTGAATATAAG